TGGGGGGCTCAGTCGGTTCAGCATCCGACTTCGGCTCAGGTCATATCTCAGGGTTTGTGAATTTGAGCCCCACATTAGGATATGTGCTGGCAGCTCGGAGCCCGGAAACTGCTTCGGATTCTGTGTCTCCCTCTCTCTCTCTCTGCCCCTCTCCTGCTCACGCTCTGTCTCTCTGTCTTTCAAAAGTAAATAAACACACATAAAAATTTTTAATACATAAAAAAATAAATACAGTATGCTTTGAGCTAAAAGGCAGCCTATGGAATGGGAGAAGATACTTGCAAACGACATATCGGATAAATGGTTAGTATCCAAAATCTATAAAAAACTTATCAAACTCCACACCAAAAAAAACAAATAATCCAGTGAAGAAATGGGCAGAAGACATGAACACACGCTTTTCCAAAGAAGACATCCACATGGTCAACTGACACGTGAAAAGATGCTCAACATCTCTCATCGTCAGGGAAATACAAATCAAAACCACAATGAGATACCACCTCACACCTGTCAGAATGGCTCACATGAACAACTCGGGCAACAACAGATGTTGGCGAGGATGCAGAGAGAGAGGATCCGTTTTGCACTGCTGGTGGGAATGCAAACTGGTGCAGCCGTTCTGGAAAACAGTAGGGAGGTTCCTCAAAAAATTAAAAATAGAACTACCCTATGACCCAGCAATGGCACAACTAGGTATTTATCCAAAGGCTACAAAAATGCTGATTCGGAGGGGCACACGCTCCCCAATGTTGACCGCAGCTCTATCGACGACAGCCGAATTATGGAAGGAGCCCAAATGTCCATCGACTGATAAATGGATAAAAAAGATGTGGTATATATATAACTATATGAAATACTACTCGGCAATCAAAAAGAATGAAATCTTGTCGTTTACAACAACGTGGCTGGAACTAGAGGGTATTACGCTAAGCGGAATAAGTCAGAGAAAGATAGGTATCACATGACTTCACTCATATGTGGAATTTAAGAAACACAACAGGTGAACACAGGGTAAGGGAAGGAAAACTAAGATAAAAACAGAGAGGGAGGCAAATCATCAGAGACTTCAATACAGAGGACACACTGAGGGCTGCGGCAGGGGAGGTGGTGGGGGGATGGGCTAGATGGGTGATGGGCACTGAGGAGGGCACCTGTTGGGATGAGCGCTGGGTGTTTTATGGAAGTGACGAATCACTAAGTTCTACTCCTGAAATCATTATTGCGCTATATGCTAACTAACTTGGATTGAAATAAAATTTTTTAAAAAGTAAGTTAATTTAAAAACCAAAATGAGAGTGGGGCGCCTGGGGGGCTCAGTCGGTGCAGCGTCCGACTTCGGCTCAGGTCGTGATCTCGCGGTCCGTGAGTTCGAGCCCCGCGTTGGGCTCTGTGCTGACGGCTCGGAGCCTGGAGTCCGCTTCAGATTCTGCGTCTCCCTCTCTCTCTGCCCCTCCCCTGCTCACACTATGTGTGTGTGTCTCTCTCTCTCAAAAGTAAATACACACTAAAAAAAATTATGATAAACACTAAAACATTTTTTTAAATAAAATAAATACAATAATGATAAAAATAAAAAGATTGTTGCTTCCGCTCCAAATCACTTAAATGAAGATCTCTGGAGGTGGGCTCAAGCATCTGTGTTTCTTAAAGCCCCACCCCAGAAATGGTGCTTTGGTGGTCTGGCAGGCAGCTGGGCACTGGGCTTCCTCCTTGATCTTCAGGGGAGCCAGAAGTGCAGCCAGGCGGAGAAGCGGCGAGGAAAGCCTTCCCCGACCACCTCAAGGAAGCACTGCTCCCTCCCACTCCTCCTCACGCAGTGGGTCTCAACCTCGGCTGCATTAAATCCACGTTTCCGGGCTGGGGCCCAGGCACCAGTAATTGCCAGAGCTCTCCAGGTACATCCACTACACAGCCGCAGACGGGAACCACCACCCTGGCTCCCAAAGCACTTGCTGGCAAAGGCCTCCCTAAAGAGTGTCAACCCACATAGGCTTGAAGGAGCGTCTATGTAAAACATGTCTACACCACCTGTGGCTTCCTGTCTGCCTCTTGGTAGATTTACGTGGGAGACAGCCTCCCGGCTCATCGCTACCCACAGGGCTGGGGGCATCTTCATCCCATTAAAACACCCCACATGTCACGGACCCTCCACGAAGGGTGAGGAGACGAGCAAACACGCGGAAGGCAACACGTTTATTTCATCAGGAACTTGCTGATCGCATGGGCGCCATGACTAAAGTGCCCGTTTCAAAGAGTAAAGGGGTTCTGCGGTTTGAAAATCATGACACCACAGCGTGACCAGGCAGGTAGAGGTCCTGGCCACCCCACCCCCTGCCCCCGAGTCAGAGGTAGAAATGAAAATACAAGGGGGAAAGCATTCGTTTCCAAGGGAAGGCCACGGCTCACAGCTCCACACTGTTGATTTCTTAGTACGTTGTTTGGTGGGGCCGGTGTTGGGGGTGGGGAGGGCGGGTGACAAAGATCCCGTGTGGTTCTGATAGCTTTATCGCACACACATAGCTTTCAAAGGAAACACACTGTCCTCGTAGAAGCTGCCGCTACATGGGATCTACAGTTCTTCAGGAACTAGTGATCAACAAAGAGTATCATCCGTCACCTTCAAATACCACCTAGGAGCCATCTCCCCAGAGCCAGTTTCTTTTTGTGGCCCAGACCCCCACCACTAATTCAAGAATCTTCACACAGCCTTTGTTTTAATAGAGTGTTCAGGGACTTCTACGCCTTACTGAAAAATGGCTTGGGGCATGGCCAAGATCATCGATTTCTAGCAAAGCTACATTTTTCCAGAGCGTACCTGGAGTCACTGCGCCCCGGGGTCCGTGGCCTGCTCCAGGGCTGGGGGGGCCTCAGCCAGTGGCTTGGGCAGGTCCAACATGGTGGACGAGTCTTTCCTGGGATTCCCGGTCACCAACATCCAACGGTTGCTCGGCTTTTCGACTCTGTGTGAATCCAGATGTGTGTGGACGGCCACCTCAGCTTCCTTCCCGAAATGGGTACTGGGGCAAGAGAGAAGGGACACGGGTTGGAAACGGGGTAACGGCCCTGGGTAAGCTGTCCACATCATCTTCAACAGCCTCTGCTCGGGGCTGCCTCTA